AACTTTATCCCTTGCTGCATTCTTAAGAACTACCATATGGACACCATGTTAGCCTTTTTTCATTTCATGCATCCTGTTGTGTTATAATGTACAATTTCTTTATTAAAACCATCACAACAGAACTACGAGGGTTGTACTGAAAGTCATGAGCAACAATTTTTTGTAAAGTAACATGCTCTATTATTGACAAACCAAATACACCACCTCAATCTACAAACCTTTCTTTATTTTTCCACATAATCGCCCCTCTTTGTACACATTTCTCCCAGCGTTCTGGGAGTTTGAAAATTTCCCTTCTGTAAAATTCCATTCCAGCCATCCAAAGACACGTGACACACTGCTTTCTGAATTGCCTCCCTTGTCTCAAAACGTTGTCCACGCTGCTGATCCTTCACAAATCTGAAAAGATGGTAGTCTGAGGGTACCAGGTCAGGGCTATAGGAGGGGTGTGGAAGAACTTCCCACCCCATCTTTGCAATTGCTTCCAATGTGAGGCAAGCAGCGCGGGGCAAGCGTTGTCATGCAGGATGATGATGTTCCATCCAGGACGTTTATCGAGCAATGCCCAACGGAGCTTGTGGAGCGTCTGGACATAACGAGCAGCATTGATAGTTTGCCCAGGTTCCAGGAACTTGGCCAGAATAAACCCCTCTGCATCCCAGAAGACTGTGCCCATCACCTTCGCAGCTGATGGCACTGTATTTACCTTCTTTTTTGTATGAGAATGCAAATGGTGCCATTCCATACTCTGCCATTTCATTTCAGGCTCGAAATGGTGAATCCAGCTTTCGTCACCTGTCACAATACAGAGCAAAAAATCATCGCCTTCGTGTCAATATCTCTGCAGCAGTTCTGAGGTGATGGCTTTTCGCTGACCTTTGTGGTCTTCGGTCAATAACCACAGGACCCAACGAGCACAAACTTTCCTATAGCCCAAGCTTTCAATCATCTCCTGTACAACTTCTTTATTAACCGTCACAACACAACAAATATCTAGATCAGTGCCCAGCTACAGCTCTGCCACATGTTTCAGCTATCAATAGCCATCATCAGGCAAATACACGGCTAACATATATACACCACTGAACTGCAGTACTATTAAACTGGATTCAATACTATTAATCATATAAAACACTTGATGTAAAAAATACAATAAAACAGATTATATAAAACAGAACTTATAGTATAAAACAAGAATAAAATTTTAAATTGATGTTTTATATCATGGAATCAGTCATTGGCTTTGTAATTCCGTTACGTTCCTATGAACAAATTTGAATATTCTCTATTTTTTCTTTTTGTATATAAGATTCTATAGGAGGCTCGTGATGTAGATGTAGTAAATTAATGTTAATTGTTTAGTTGGTGCCTCATCTTACAAAGTATTGTCCGTTCTGTAGGGAATGTAAACAACGACTGGTGTATATATGTTAACCATGT